ACAGTCGGCCGTTCACGGAAACAACCGATTATGACCGAGAAATGATATCATGAAAGTTACGGTGCTTATTAAGCATTTGAAAACGTATGTGGTAAGTTGCCAAAGTGCTTTGTTTTGAACGTTCATCAGTATTATAATCAAAAAGAGAAATATGAACGTTAGTTTTTACTGAAATGATCAAATAAAGTCAACATTTCACAGTCTTTACTGAGCTGTGTGGGGTTTGTTCAACTTTTAAAAGATGTTTGAATGGTGATATACACAGTGATAGATGTTAAGGACTAACGTTTATAATAAATACATTTGTATTGATTTGAAGATCTTTTCATACAATCATACGTATTGGGATCATTTGTATTAATGTGGACCGGAGGGAGAGGGTGACGAGCATAAGTTTCACTTTCCTTTTTTATTTCAATTTCAACTTTGGTCATGAAGAATATGTTTCTCTGTTGTCCCCGTTCATAAAGCATAACAGCACCAGAGCACGGTGCAGAGTCTCTAGATGAGTTTACAGTAGTCCCTCGTTCTCATTAAACATCCATGTTGTAGTCCGCTGTATAGAAAACTGTAGTTTCCATAGTTTCCCCACAGCAGCAGGCGCACATTTATGACCTCTGCTGGCGCATCATAAACACGTCGGATAGTGAAAGTGCAGTCGATTCTCTAAAGTGCCGCAGTCTCTTCTCCTAAATCCTTTTGAATTCTCCTATCCACTATCCCTTAACCCCGTGACCTTTCACTCAGAGGTCAAGGGATAGACGATAGGGTTAGAACTTAGGAGCTGTTTTTTGGACTATTCGACTGCAACCCTGGTCTCCCAGCTGTGTGCGTCACTCTTTAGTGTCCCCTGGTCTCCCAGCTGTGTGCGTCACTCTTTAGTGTCCCCTGGTCTCCCAGCTGTGTGCGTCACTCTTTAGTGTCCCCTGGTCTCCCAGCTGTGTGCGTCACTCTTTGGTGTCCCCTGGTCACCCAGCTGTGTGCGTCACTCTTTAGTGTCCCCTGGTCTCCCAGCTGTGTGCGTCACTCTTTAGTGTCCCCTGGTCTCCCAGCGGTGTGCGTCACTCTTTAGTGTACCCTGGTCTCCCAGCTGTGTGCGTCACTCTTTAGTGTCCCCTTGTCTCCCAGCTGGTTGCGTCACTCTCTAGTGTCCCCTGGTCTCCCAGCGGTGTGCGTCACTCTTTAGTGTCCCCTGGTCTCCCAGCGGTGTGCGTCACTCTTTAGTGTCCCCTGGTCTCCCAGCTGTGTGCGTCACTCTTTGGTGTCCCCTGGTCACCCAGCTGTGTGCGTCACTCTTTAGTGTCCCCTGGTCTCCCAGCTGTGTGCGTCACTCTTTAGTGTCCCCTGGTCTCCCGGCGGTGTGCGTCACTCTTTAGTGTACCCTGGTCTCCCAGCTGTGTGCGTCACTCTTTAGTGTCCCCTTGTCTCCCAGCTGGTTGCGTCACTCTCTAGTGTCCCCTGGTCTCCCAGCGGTGTGCGTCACTCTTTAGTGTCCCCTGGTCTCCAGCTGTGTGCGTCACTCTTTAGTGTCCCCTGGTCCTCCCAGCTGTGTGCGTCACTCTTTAGTGTCCCCTGGTCTCCCAGCTGTGTGCGTCACTCTTTGGTGTCCCCTGGTCTCCCAGCTGTGTGCGTCACTCTTTAGTTTCCCCTGGTCTCCCAGCTGTGTGCGTCACTCTTTAGTGTCCCCTGGTCTCCCAGCTGTGTGCGTCACTCTTTAGTGTCCCCTGGTCTCCCAGCTGTGTGCGTCACTCTTTAGTGTCCCCTGGTCTCCCAGCTGTGTGCGTCACTCTTTAGTGTCCCCTGGTCTCCCAGCTGTGTGCGTCACTCTTTAGTGTCCTCTGGTCTCCAGCTGTGTGCGCCACTCTTTAGTGTCCCCTGGTCTCCCAGCTGTGTGCGTCACTCTTTAGTGTCCCCTGGTCTCCCAGCTGTGTGCGTCACTCTTTAGTGTCCCCTGGTCTCCCAGCTGTGTGTTTCACTCTTTAGTGTCCCCTGGTCTCCCAGCTGTGTGCGTCACTCTTTAGTGTCCCCTGGTCTCCCAGCTGTGTGCGTCACTCTTTAGTGTCCCCTGGTCTCCCAGCTGTGTGCGTCACTCTTTAGTGTCCCCTGGTCTCCCAGCTGTGTGCGTCACTCTTTAGTGTCCTCTGGTCTCCAGCTGTGTGCGCCACTCTTTAGTGTCCCCTGGTCTCCCAGCTGTGTGCGTCACTCTTTAGTGTCCCCTGGTCTCCCAGCTGTGTGCGTCACTCTTTAGTGTCCCCTGGTCTCCCAGCTGTGTGCGTCACTCTTAGTGTCCCCTGGTCTCCCAGCTGTGTGCGTCACTCTTTAGTGTCCCCCTGGTCTCCCTGCTGTGTGCGTCACTCTTTAGTGTCCCCTGGTCTCCCAGCTGTGTGCGTCACTCTTTAGTGTCCCCTGGTCTCCCAGCTGTGTGCGTCACTCTTTAGTGTCCCCTGGTCTCCCAGCTGTGTGCGTCACTCTTTAGTGTCCCCTGGTCTCCCAGCTGTGTGCGTCACTCTTTAGTGTCCCCCTGGTCTCCCTGCTGTGTGCGTCACTCTTTAGTGTCCCCTGGTCTCCCAGCTGTGTGCGTCACTCTTTAGTGTCCCATGTTAGAGAAGCAAAAAAATATATATCTCAAATTCATTTTAATCACAGTCTCACCAGTAGTAAGCAGCGCTCGGTAAAAGCAGCATCCATGCTGCCGGCGGCATCTTGTCCTCCTGTGTCCTGTGATGGAAACAACCACTGAAGAAGAGGAAGAGGACGAGGAAGAAGGGAACACACCTGCAGGACACAGATAAAGGACAGAAGGAATCAGGGGAAAGACAAATGCTGCACGGCTCTGCATGTGAAACATCATTAATCACAGACTCTGTGGGTAAAGTCCTCATTATGCAAAGTAAGGTCTGAATAGAGAGGGAAGAGTGAGAATGGAGTGTAGTGTCTCTACTTTAAAGAGCTCTCTCCTGCTGATGTTCAGGTGTATATCAGTATGTAGTGTCTCTACTTTAAAGAGCTCTCTCCTGCTGATGTTCAGGTGTATATCAGTATGTAGTGTCTCTACTTTAAAGAGTCCTCTCCTGCTGATGTTCAGGTGTATATCAGTATGTAGTGTCTCTACTTTAAAGAGTCCTCTCCTGCTGATGTTCAGGTGTATATCAGTATGTAGTGCCTCTACTTTAAAGAGTCCTATCCTGCTGATGTTCAGGTGTATATCAGTATGTAGTGTCTCTACTTTAAAGAGTCCTCTCCTGCTGATGTTCAGGTGTATATCAGTATGTAGTGCCTCTACTTTAAAGAGTCCTCTCCTGCTGATGTTCAGGTGTATATCAGTATGTAGTGCCTCTACTTTAAAGAGTCCTATCCTGCTGATGTTCAGGTGTATATCAGTATGTAGTGTCTCTACTTTAAAGAGTCCTCTCCTGCTGATGTTCAGGTGTATATCAGTATGTAGTGTCTCTACTTTAAAGAGTCCTCTCCTGCTGATGTTCAGGTGTATATCAGTATGTAGTGCCTCTACTTTAAAGAGTCCTATCCTGCTGATGTTCAGGTGTATATCAGTATGTAGTGTCTCTACTTTAAAGAGTCCTCTCCTGCTGATGTTCAGGTGTATATCAGTATGTAGTGCCTCTACTTTAAAGAGTCCTCTCCTGCTGATGTTCAGGTGTATATCAGTATGTAGTGCCTCTACTTTAAAGAGTCCTATCCTGCTGATGTTCAGGTGTATATCAGTATGTAGTGTCTCTACTTTAAAGAGTCCTCTCCTGCTGATGTTCAGGTGTATATCAGTATGTAGTGTCTCTACTTTAAAGAGTCCTCTCCTGCTGATGTTCAGGTGTATATCAGTATGTAGTGTCTCTACTTTAAAGAGTCCTCTCCTGCTGATGTTCAGGTGTATATCAGTATGTAATGTCTCTACTTTAAAGAGTCCTCTCCTGCTGATGTTCAGGTGTATATCAGTATGTAGTGTCTCTACTTTAAAGAGTCCTCTCCTGCTGATGTTCAGGTGTATATCAGTATGTGTCTCTACTTTAAAGAGTCCTCTCCTGCTGATGTTCAGGTGTATATCAGTATGTAGTGTCCTCTACTTTAAAGAGTCCTCTCCTGCTGATGTTCAGGTGTATATCAGTATGTAGTGTCTCTACTTTAAAGAGTGCTCTCCTGCTGATGTTCAGGTGTATATCAGTATGTAGTGTCTCTACTTTAAAGAGTCCTCTCCTGCTGATGTTCAGGTGTATATCAGTATGTAGTGTCTCTACTTTAAAGAGTCCTCTCCTGCTGATGTTCAGGTGTATATCAGTATGTAGTGTCTCTACTTTAAAGAGTCCTCTCCTGCTGATGTTCAGTTGTATATCAGTATGTAGGGTCTCTACTTTAAAGAGTCCTCTCCTGCTGATGTTCAGGTGTATATCAGTATGTAATGTCTCTACTTTAAAGAGTCCTCTCCTGCTGATGTTCAGGTGTATATCAGTATGTAGTGTCTCTACTTTAAAGAGTCCTCTCCTGCTGATGTTCAGGTGTATATCAGTATGTAGTGTCTCTACTTTAAAGAGTCCTCTCCTGCTGATGTTCAGGTGTATATCAGTATGTAGGGTCTCTACTTTAAAGAGTCCTCTCCTGCTGATGTTCAGGTGTATATCAGTATGTAGTGTCTCTACTTTAAAGAGTCCTCTCCTGCTGATGTTCAGGTGTATATCAGTATGTAGTGTCTCTACTTTAAAGAGTCCTCTCCTGCTGATGTTCAGGTGTATATCAGTATGTAGTGTCTCTACTTTAAAGAGTCCTCTCCTGCTGATGTTCAGGTGTATATCAGTATGTAGTGTCTCTACTTTAAAGAGTCCTCTCCTGCTGATGTTCAGGTGTATATCAGTATGTAGTGTCTCTACTTTAAAGAGTCCTCTCCTGCTGATGTTCAGGTGTATATCAGTATGTAGTGTCTCTACTTTAAAGAGTCCTCTCCTGCTGATGTTTAGGTGTATATCAGTATGTAGTGTCTCTACTTTAAAGAGTCCTCTCCTGCTGATGTTCAGGTGTATATCAGTATGTAGTGTCTCTACTTTAAAGAGTCCTCTCCTGCTTCTCACCACATCAGATGACCAATGGTGTCGTCAAAGAAACAGAGGAGCTCAAACGCATCGATCTTAATAAAATACAAAAAAAAACAATTGTCGTTTGGAGATTAGAAAATGATTACAAATAAATAAACATCAATTTAAATGTATTCTAACCAACCAGGGCGGGGGGGCGGAGCTCCTCCATGATTGGGTTATCTCTGACGGACAGGTGCAGCTGGTAGCCAATCAGCACGAGCCGTCGCGTGATGGCGTCCGTCACCAGGTGGAGGCTGGTTCCCATGGCAACAGCAATAACGCCCAGGTGTACGGCGAGTGGGGGCAACGACCGGGGGGTGCGCTCAATCATCTGCAGGGAAAAATAATGTTTTATAAGTGTGTATTAGTGTGTACTATTGTTTGTGTAATACTCTGTGTGTAATACTGTGTGTGTATTAGTGTGTATTACTCTGTGTTATTTACTGTGTTTGTAATACTCTGTGTTTTACTGTCTGTTGGTTACTTTGAGCAGAATGAGCGGTGTGCAGATGTTGAACAGGAAGTGGAGATATTCTGCAGCAGAGGGCCGGTTCAGAGGAAACAGATCTGCAGGGAGGACGAGCTGCAAGAGAAATTAAAGTTTAAATCATCCCTAAAAACCTCATTTAAATGCATAACTCAGATTTCTATCAGTTGAAAGGCAGGCTGTGTCGGGGCTGCTCCAGATAAAACTGTGAAGGATATTTCAGAAAAGGAAGTTTAGTGCAAATTAAAACTTCCAGGATAGAGGGATGAAGCAGATTCTAATTTAGAGATGTCAAAACAATTATCTTTTATGACATTTTCAAACTGCAATGACAATCTTAACTGATTAAGCTAAAAAAAAAAGTAGATCTACATGAACTGAATAACTGAACAGGAGGGTTTAAGTCTTAAACCCTCCTGTTCTTAAACCTCAAGACCTTTTGCCTGGATTTTCTCTTTTCATTTCATTTTGCAGTACGGGAACATTTTGGCCTCAGGTTCCACAAAAACGTAGCTAAAGACGCCAGAATATGAGCGTGAATCCAAGAGGAAGGTCAATGAGCCAAATAAACGCCAATTTAGTGAGGCCGAAACGATGGACAAAGCTCTTTCCAAAACAACCACGAATCTGATGTTGAGTTCACTATAGAGGAACTACAGCACGGTCACATGACTTCACGTCACCACCGCTAAGCTAAAGGAGGCTAATGTTGGGCTATAAAGGAACTACAGCACGGTCACATGACTTCACGTCACCACCGCTAAGCTAAAGGTGGCTAATGTTGGGCTATAATCAGGGGTGCACATAACTTTTTGAGTGAGTTACTCAGATGAGTACCAGGAGACAGCGTTTGGTACTCACCCCACATGAAGCGTGGTTTTAATAAGTGCAGTCTTCCTCACTGTCCTCCTCAGTGTCTCCTTCACTGTCCTCTATTTACACTTCTTGCATGCTAGATGATGAAGATGATGAAGATGCACCTCCCTGTCTCTTTTTAAGCCTCCGCTTTGCTTTCTCCAAAACTTGTTGCCAAAACTGTGAAGTCCTTGCATTTCCTGAGGCCAAGTTGAAGGATCAAATACTAAGAAATTATCACATGACTTGTAGTCATATCTGATTTCAGAGGTGGGAAGTAACAAAGTACATTTATTCAAGTACTGTACTTAGGTACAATTTATGCTACTTTGTACTTCTACTCCACTACAGTTCAGAGGTAAATCATGTACTTTTCCTCCACTACATGTAGTTAATACCTTTAGTTACTTCACAGATCTGGATGAATGATGTGAAATATAATCAAGTCTTAAATCAGACTTTAGTTCCACCTGGAGTAAATTCACAAGCTCCCCTGCAGTATACAAAGTCATTCAAACTAATTTTTAAACACTTTAATGATCAATAATTATAAAACATATCATATACATTATTATGAAATGGACCAATCCGCAAAATGACTACTTTTACTGTCGCTACTTTAACTAGGTGTTGATGATAATACTTTTCTAATTTTACTTGACTAACACTTCATCCACCTAACCCTGTCTGATTTCAAACTCTTCCATTAACACCTTGAGTAAGTTTGCAGCTGTGTGTTTTACTCCACTTTGTTGTAAATAAACTGCAGCAGCTTGACCACAGAGCGTGAACGTTGTGATCAGCTGATTTTGCGCAGTTCTCCAGTGTGTGCGCGGGGCACAGAATGTGCACAGGGGAGTCTCCCACCGCAGCCAGTTGATGTAGTTTTGGTACAATTCTGTTGTACACACCGACGTTAACAGCAGCCCCGTCTGTGCACACGGCGACCAACTCTGTCGTCCAGTGATCTAAGCCTCTGCCTCCTGTGAAGCTTCACAGGTCCGTCGGTTATGTCCTGCGCGGCACGGCCAGCACCCAGTTCAATCAGTCATAGAAAGTCTGAAGATTTTAGCAGGGAGCGAAACGGCAAAGTGGCTGCTTAATGTCTTTGTTTTTTTTGGACATGTCTAATAATTTACTCCACTGAGTATTGACAAGAAACATGTGCAGGCGAAATATGTGTTTTGTTTTGATGACCTATCAGGTACGCAAAGGCGCGTTGTGACACAAGTGACGTTACGCATTTCAGATTGTTGCCGCGCATGCGTACCTGCGTACCAGTTATGTGCACCCCTGGCTATAAAGGAACGACAGCACGGTCACATGACTTCACGTCACCACCGCTAAGCTAAAGGTGGCTAATGTTGGGCTATAAAGGAACGACAGCACGGTCACTAGGGTTGGGAACCGAAACTCGGTTCCAGATGAGAACCGATAAGAAAATGCCGGGTACCGGGTACCCATACAAAATACACAATTTCGGTTCTGCTTAACGGTTCCTAAACGCGGTAGACCCTGTATTCCACCGGGTCCACCGGCGTCGCGGTGACCCGGTGGAATACAGAGTAAGGGCGGACTGGCCATCTGTGTGTTCTGGAGAATCACAGAACGGCCGGTCGTCAGCGGGCCGTTGACGGCACCGCCCTTAATTTTTTTAAACGGCATCATGTAAGTTGCGCTGACAGGCGACAGAGGTCCACAGTTGCCCCGCAGCGAGGCTCCCCCCGCCCTCCCGCAGCGAGGCTCCCCCCGCCCTCCCGCAGACAGTTCACGAGCTCAGTCACTTCATAACACCAAAGATGGATGGCGGTAAACGCTCTAAAGTGAGGCTCCACTACACTAAAACAGAAAGACAAGGCACAGTGTAATGCCTGTTGATAGCTTGCCACAGGCATAGCTCAGTTACATAAAGCACAGCTATTGTGCAATACATCTGTATTACATGTATATTTTTTATTTGTAAAAATGTCAGTTAAAGCTTTAGAGAATAAAGATATGTTTGTTATCTAAACGTTTGACCTCTTTCTTTTACAATTTTGGAATCGAACCGGAATCGATAAGAACCGGAATCGATAAATTTCAAACGATACCCATCCCTAACGGTCACATGACTTCACGCCCACGGTTTTAGGATTGCACCACTCCCAACCTTCTAAAAGGATGTGCAGTTATTCAGTCAAACAGGAAATGGACATTGTGTTTATAATCCCGATACCGTGACAAATGGCTGGCCCACGTCCAGGATCCAGCTGTGGAGGATGAAGCCGAGCCACAGGTCCAGCTGGAAGCGAGGCCTCGGCAGAACCTCTTCAGAACCGGACACCCGGCTGCAGAACACAGAACAGGACATATTGTATCACCTCTGACAGTTCCTTGCATATTTAAGTCAGATATGGGGTTATATATGTCTCAATAATATTTGTGTGAACATTAAAATGATCAGCAGGCCATCACGTGGTTTCCGACACGAGAAGATTTTAGCCGAGACCGGCGGAAAGTTTGTCTCAAAACTCTGTGTGTGTAAAAGACGATCCACAAGCAGAGACTTGAGACCCACAAACGCATTTTTGGTCGACAAATACAAAATGGATTCACAAATGCCTGATCGAAAGTTGTCAATGTTAGAGAGAGACTCACAAATTCCTTTTGTTTATTTGTAAACTAATTATAGTAATATTCATGGAAATATTTGTCATTGTTCAAATGATAATAAACAAACATATAAAGCATATTTGTCCACTCATATGTTGATAAGAGTATTCAAAACTTGAAAAATATCCCTCTAAGGTACATTTAGAACAGATACAAAATGTGCGATTAATCGCGATTAAATATTTTAATCGACTGACAGCCCTAATAAATACACAATCAAGACACATTTATACATGTGCACACATTAAGATAAAAACGCAAAGATCAATATATACAAAATAACAGTCACTTCAATATCTTTGGGAATGTGCATTAGTGCAAGACTGATTGATTAACCTGAGAATACTGTCCCAACCTTAAGAGATGATTTAGAGCCCTAGAATTTGCTGTTGATAAACTAAAGTCAGCTGAATAGCAGCTATTTGTCTGTTAGGTTACGTTCCCTCCTGGACTAGGGGAACAAAGGGAAGTAACAACATATTAAATAACCGGGAGAGAGGAAAAAGGAGAGGAAACTGATCTGTGAATCCACAAAGTCATGTTTTAATCAGTCAAAGAAAGTAAAGATTTGCAATGCAAACGTACGACAAACCAAAACAACTCTCTCATAAAAGAAAGCGACAACAGTAAACCAAAACACTGCTCAGAACTTCTACAAGTTGCACGTCCAACATAGACAACAACATATTACACTGCTGCACAGATCACCCACTGCCATCCCAACACAGTCTCACGGCATTTCGTGTTATAGTCACGAAATTAATCTATTGATTCGTGTTCACCAACACGATTTCGCCATTTTTTTCGTGTCACACAGAACGATTTTAGAAGCAATGTATTTATATTGGTAGTATGTTTCGTGCCTGCACCAAATAATAACAAATTAGAAGGAAAAAAAGATGACATAAAATACAGATGTCAGTATTCTGAGGCTCTGAGCCATTTCTTTTCCTCACTGACGGCAAAAAAAAACTCAGACATTATACAATTTAAAATAAAAGGGATAGGGTTAGGCTTAGGGTAAGATATTGAGTAAGAACATGTTTTTATGAACCACACAGCTCCTGGTCTTCCAAGACCCGACCGGACAAAAAGACGTGTTGCAGGCACGAAACATACTACCAATAGAAATACATTGCATTTAAAATCGTTCTGTGTGACACGAAAAAAAGGTGAAAATCGTGTTGGTGAACACGAATCAATAGATTAAATTACACGAAACACGAAATGCCGTGAGACTGGTTGGCCATCCATGCAGCTCACAGGAGAAGGAAGAGAGCGACTGCAGCCTTCCTCAGGTCCTTTATGGAGGCCCTGATTGGGGAGGCCCTGATTGGGGATTGGGAGCACCTGAGGGAGAGGCCTTTTCTCATAGTTTTCTATACAATCAGACTTAGAGAGAATAATGGGTTTAAGGCACTTCTGCTTTTGCTTCAGACCTGGATGTTGCTGCTTGAATGTAAAAACATTTCCTCACATCCCAAAGTTGTGAGATATTTCTGTCTGGATCAAAGTGTAACTGCAGGCAGTCGTGACCTGACGTATGCTCGCCTCCAAAAAACCCTAAACTCTGAGAAAGTGGATTTCCAGCAGCGTTAATCTGCTCTGATCCTCTGTGTCACACATCCAGCGCAGGAGTGCTAATGTCCAGCTGCTGCTTTCATTTTCATTCAGCATGCATTATGTGAGCAGGATATTCCAACCCAGTCTCACGGCATTTCGTGTTATTAGTCACGAAATTAATTTAATCTATTGATTCGTGTTCACCAACACAATTTTCGCATTTTTTTCTTGTCACACAGAACGATTTTAAATGCAATGTATTTCTATTGGTAGTATGTTTCGTGCCTGCAACACGTCTTTTTGTCCGGTCGGGTCTTGGAAGACCAGAAGCTGTGTGGTTCATAAAACATGTTCTTACTCAATATCTTACCCTAAGCCTAACCCTATCCCTTTTATTTTAAATTGTATAATGTCTGAGTTTTGTTGCCGTCAGTGAGGAAAAGAAATGTCTCAGAGCCTCAGAATACTGACATCTGTATTTTATGTCATCTTTTTTTCCTTCTAATTTGTTATTATTTGGTGCAGGCACGAAACATACTACCAATATAAATACATTGCTTCTAAAATCGTTCTGTGTCAGAATACTGAAATCTGTATTTTTTTAAATGTCTTTTTCCTTCTAATTTGTTATTATTTACATTGCTTTTAAAAGCGTTCTGTGTGACACGAAAAAAATGGTGAAATCGTGTTGGTGAACACGAATCAATAGATTCATTTCGTGACTATAACACGAAATGCCGTGAGACTGTGTTGGATATTCACACTAACACCAGCCAGAGACCCAGCAGCAGGGCGCCGCTCAAAGACAGGAACCAGCAGCACAAGTTGTATGTATGTAACAGCACATACATACATTTTCAGCACAGTAAAATAGCTAGGAGGACATTTTAAGTTCAGCTGCAAGAAAATAAAGTTGAATTCGACAAACCTGCCAAGCAGAGCCGGGTTCTTCCTCTTCCTGGTGAACGACTGCATATTATATTATATGATTTAAACAATATCACAGCTTTAAAGCAGTGAGAGAAACATCAGGTCGTCAGCAGAGATGACCTCCACTTCTCCTCCATCATTTCTCCTCATTAGCTTCCAGATCAAATGATAAATAAATCCTCTTCTTCCCAACTCTCTGAAGCTGTTGTCCCTGGACTGAAACAGAGTGAATGATTTGATGATAAGATCCAGCCTCCTCTCAGTTAAACTGCAGGTAATCTGCGTGCAGATGAAGCCGTAATCTGTATAAACCCCCCCGATGTTTTACTGGAGAGATTTAATCTGGTTTAAACAACAGTCAGGAAATGATGAGTTTCACTGATCAGGAACACCTGGATGGTTCAATCACTGAAACCATCAAAACCTTTATTTAAGAGAATCTGCAACATCCTAAAAGATCCAACAACTATTCAGAGGTGTTAAGTAACTAAATACATTTAAAAAAAAATTGCTCTTATTGTCATTTCACAGTACAGGTACTATGTAACGAAATTGTTCCTCTGCATTTGACCCATCCTAGTGTTAGGAGCAGTGTGCTGCCGTGGACAGCACCCGGGGAGCAGTGTAGGGAACGGTGTCCTGCTCAGGGACACCTCGGTAGCACTTGGTCTTGCCAGGACTCGAACTGGTGACCTTCCAGTTGCCAAGCCAAGTCCCTATCGACTTCGCCACCACCATTTACTCAAGTACTGTAACATAAGTACATTTTTGAGGTACTTTACTTGAGTATTTCCATATTAAGCTACTGTGTACTTCTACTCCTCTACAGTTCAGAGGTACATGGTGTACTTTTCCTCCACTACAGTTCAGAGGTACATGGTGTACTTCTACTCCTACATGTATTTAATACCTTTAGTTACTTCACAGATGTGGATGAATGATGTGAAATATAATCAAGTGTTAAATCAGACTTTAGTTCCACCTGGAGTAAATCCACAAGCTACCCTGCAGTATACAAAGTCATTCAAACTAGCTGCACCTTTACCAGCTTTGAGAACACTTTCATGATCAATCATTATAAAACATATCATATATATTATTCTGAAATGGACCAATCTGCACAATCACTACTTTTACTGTCGCTACTTTCACTATATTTTGATGAGAATACTTGAATACTTTCACTTGAGGAACATTTTGAATGCAGGACTTTTACTGAAACAGAGTATTCCTACTCTCTGGTACTTCTACTTTTACTCAAGTACAAGATCTGAGTACTTCTACTTTTACTCAAGTACAAGATCTGAGTACTTCTACTGTTACTCAAGTACAAGATCTGAGTACTTCTACTTTTACTCAAGTACAAGATCTGAGTACTTCTACTTTTACTCAAGTACAAGATCTGAGTACTTCTACTTTTACTCAAGTACAAGATCTGAGTACTTCTACTGTTTTTTTTTTGTTTACTTTAAGCAGGTTTACCACACTGTATGAACTCACTTTACCCTTGGTGACATTTCTCATGTGGCCCTAAACTATTATTTCTGGATTTGAAGTCCGTGCGCAAAGCATTGTGGGGATTTTAAGACCGCGGAGTCTACTCATGTGCAGCCTCGATATTTCTCCAAACGGAGTACGCCGGGCTCGGTAGATTTCCAAGTATGCTGGAGATTGGAACAGTACTTCGGCGGCACTCGATGACGTAGTATGCTTGAAATAGTGGCTCGGAAGCAGCTTTACTCGACATTGAGAAACACCCACGGCCTTGGTTTGGGGGAAATTTCGAGGCTGCACATGAGTAGACTCCGCGGTCTTAAAATCCCCACAATGCTTTGCGCACGGACCAATTTCCCCAAATCTGTGGCGGAAGATGTAAGGAGGCGGGGCCTCTCATATGACGCACACCTGCACACTTGCTAGCCTGTTCCACTCTTTGTTTTCCAAATGCCAGGAAGTATTCTTGACTCGCTTCTGAAGCAAGATGCTCGGCAGACATGTGCTACCAAGCAAGCGTACTCGCGATTGAGAAACACCCCGTGTATGGGAACTTAAAGTGGACCTATCATGGTATATTTAAATGATATAGTGTAGGACCATACCTATATAAGGCATATTTATACGTTTCTGTTTTCAAAATACCAAACAGATCATGCATTTTAGCCATGCCTCATTTCGCTCAATTTGCACTTTTTTTTAGCTCTGCTCTGCAAGGGCAGATTCAGTGAGAACAGCACCACCTACAGACCTGGCATATGTACTACTGCGTCTCCAGCGCTTTGGAACGGCAATGGCCGTGGCTGTCTCCTCCTGATTGGTGGAGTTGGCCCAATAGCCGTAGCGCCACCATCCTGACGTCAGGACAGTGTTCAAATCTGGATCAGTTTTTATCAGATCCGTTGCAGCCCCTTTTTTAGAGATTTGGGTATGGAGGAAAATAGAGAGGGTTGTGTTTTCTGACACTTGGTGAGTTCCCTGGAACACCGGGGACACATATTCATGTAGAAAAGACGTACAAAAGTGCATTTTGCATGATAGGTCCCCTTTAAGTAATCTGGAGAGAGTTCCCGTCGGAGCTATTTTTAAGTTGAACGGCACCTTCCTATATAACACTAGTTTCACAGAAGGTGAAAGCTCGTTTGTGTTTCAAATCTTCCAGTGGTGTTGAGTTTTAATCTCCAGACTCTCTTTTGCTTCCTTTAAAGTATGGGATTAGTTTTGTTTCATAAAGATAAAGCAACACTTTCTCAGAATAAAGAAAAACTAAGAGTTTAAGAGAAAACAAAACTGAGTCAAGCTAAAATTAATTAGATTTTAGATTAATTTAAAAAATAAAACTATAAGTTGCAAACAAATCATTTGTGTAATCATGTAAACTATAAGTATTTTTTCTTTGTTTTAACATATCTTTTTGTTTGCAGTTCTCTTTGCTTCTTTCTCAGTGATCAGACTTTTGCGCTGCAGCTATTTTGACACACACGTCCCAGGTGGGCGGGACTTTCAGGGGTGTGTCCCCATTGGCTACTCAGTTTTTGAGTGACAGCCCACTACACCACAGATCATACAGTGCAACTCATGCAGCACACTCCGGAGTCCACTCGGCCACGTTAGTGTCGGTGCCTCCTGGAGAGTTTCATGAACATATCGGACTCATCTTATGGATCGCTGTGCATTAGACTTGTGTTGTGTAGTTTATACTTTATTCCAACTTTAAATATTTTAATTAGGGCTGTCAAGTTAACGCGTTAATAACGCGTTAACGCAAAAAAAATGAACGCCACTAATTATTTTAACGCGATTAACGCATGTGTATTTTTTGTCCTCGGCCGCCCCGTAGTTTCAGAGCGCATCGAGTTTAAAATACCATCTACAAGCTGATGCTGACAGCCCCGCTCCTGCCGCCCGCTTGTGGCAGACCACACTTCCACGCTCACCGGCAGGCCCGGACATGTTCAGGTTGTTGTGTTTAATATTCATGAGAATATTTGTCATTGTTCAAATGATAATAAACAAACATATAAAGCATATTTGTCCACTCATATGTTGATAAGAGTATTCAAAACTTGAAAGATATCCCTCTAAGGTACATTTAGAACAGATAAAAAATGTGCGATTAATTTGCGATTAATCGCGATTAACTATTTTAATCGACTGACAGCCCTAATTTTAATACCTGAACACACTGCTGCTGTAAAATAATATCCCAATTTGGGATTGATAAAGTGTCTGTCTATTTATTTATTTATTTTATAGATAAAAAAAAACACATCTATGTATTTTCAAGCTAAAGGTGATACACAAACTGCATACTGTTATTTTTTCAAAGACATGTTACATTTCAAAAGCATATATTGCTATGTGTTTAGGACAAACAATTAAAGACTGCTTTAATTGAACAAATTCTACAATATAAAAGTGGCAGATTTGCTTTATTAAACAGACCAGACCTAGGCTGCATACCAACACAATTAGGAACATGCTCACATCTTACTATGTTGGTCTGAAGAGCTGAAGCATTCATATACAATGGATACAAACTGTGTCGTCTCTATTTCCTGTGAGAAAATGATATACATTTAGCATAAACAACTCAACATGCTATTCCTGAGGAAGATATGAATAATCAACAGAGTTGAATGGAATCTCTAACATTTCTATGTAGAATAAAGACAAAAGAGTGATTATACAAATTACATTTATTGAAATTTGAACCAGAAGATGAAGTCTCAAAGAATGTTTTAAATAAAAGGACATAAAACAAAAAGGTGGATAATAATCAAATCTATTAAATGTATATGTAAAGACATTTGGTCAAATGAAATGACACTGAGCCAGTGATAACAGCAACGCCAGCGTGAATGAAGCTGGTGCAGGTCTCTCTTCATGCCCCCCCTCCGTGCTGTCCCCTCAGAGGAAGTGGGAACACGGGATAAGACCTCTGGACGCCACGCTGTCTCAATGATCCACTGTTAATATGAGAGGAAAATACATGTTTTAGGAAATGAAAAATATGAAGTTAACAAATAAAACACAGCTCAGGGGCATCATGGACGGGAGGTTTTCCTACAAAGTTAACTCAGCCTCCATTGATTTTCACATCAAATTAGCATGTTGATAAAATAAGCTATCATGGCTTATACTTGCATATCTAAACAGAATCATGAAAGCCTGTTGGTAGAGTCAGTCAGGCACATGAGTCCGTTTGAGTGTGTGCGCCGGCGTCTGAACGCTCACTCACTGCTCGCTTTGTAGCTAACTGTCCCTGCTATTAGGCTACTAGCTTGCATTGTTATGGATCTAAAGTTAGCAAAAGCTAACTTTCATAGCACAGCTTTATAGTGATGTGTCGGTCGCGAACGAGCCGTTTTTTTGTTTTTGTTATTTTTTGTTAAGTAATACAAGACAGAATGATATGATGATCTCTGCGCTACAGCTGCTCCGTGCATGCATGCAGTGGCATGTAATATCCAAGGATTAGAGACCGTTGGATGCTGCTGTTTTGAGCATTGCAATACATTTATTTTTATTATGTTTTTTTATGATTAGAGACGGTTGGATGCTGCTGTACTGAGCATTGCAATATATTTATTTTCACTATGTTATTTATTTATGATTATCCTTGGGCTCAGCAAAGATTTGATGTCAGCTGTTGCTGTCTTTTTTTCTATAGTTAATACTGAAATAGAGCCCAGCTGTTTTGTCAGGGCTTTTTCTTTAAATATAATTTTAAAATGTCGATACAGTAGCCCCTTTTTTTAAATGTCTATGCTTAAGTTTTATAGGTGTTGCTATCTGCTTTGTGTAGCGTGGTTCTACAAGCAAGTCAGTGCATTCGTTGGGTGGTATCAGAGAGATACAAGGGTCTGTCAATGCAATGAAAACTGGCCACAGCAAATAATTGATATTAAACATGTAATTTTTACTTTTGAATACTTCAGTACAAAGGATGTATTGAATAATTTAAGTGATATGTGTACACATATAAATCATTAGTCAAAACGGGGCTACATTTGATAGAATTATAAAAGGTATAATATGTGGTAACTGAAGAGCCGGTTGGGAGCCGAAAGAGCCGGCTCTTCTTGGTGAGCCGAGCCAAATGATCCGGCTCACCAAGAAGAGCCGGAATTCCCATCACTACAGCTTTACTTCTCACTTAACTAACACAATAAAGAAACAGACTGTATAGTACAGCACAAATAACACAAATGATCAATACTTACATATATTTTCACTTGTAGTATTATAATAATTGAAATGCTGGTTCTTCTGGGGGTCTTCTGTCCACGCTCAGCTACCTACCGCACCGCAGCTGCCTGCACTAATCGCTGGAGGACTGGGCTGTCACTCAAAAACTGAGTAGCCAATGGGGACGCACCCCTGAAAGTCCCGCCTACCTGGGACGTTTGTGTCAGAATTGAAAACAAAAAATGAGGGAGCGCAAACGAGAAAGCTGCAGCGAGAGCAAAAGTCTGATCGTTGAGAAAGAAGCAAAGAGAACTGCAAACAAAAAGACTTATAGTTTGCAACTTAGTTTTATTTTTGAAATTACATTTATTTTGCTTGACTCAAAACTAATCCCATACTTTGAACAGACGGTGGGGTTTTAAAGGGCCAGTGTGTCTGTCTAATGTTAGCATTACGAAAAAAAAGGCACTACTTTAGGACATAAGTAATGTTTATGCTGCTAATATTAATTGGATAATTCATCTTAAAATCTTCTTAAAGTGTCAGAATATTTCGTTATTTTGTCTGGTTCAGATTTTAGTAAGTTAACCAACATTCAAAGTGACGATTTTAAACACTTTTATGTTTTACTATTGTTTGAATCAACATATTTGTATTTATTTTACTAACATTATTTCAGGATTGTAATTCCTCTGTGTACTTTTTGTAGTCATTGCAGTTTTTTTGTAGTTTTTAAACAGAAGAGGAAGTCCGTCTAAGGGAACTTATATCATCCGGAGACAGTTCCCGTCGGAGCTATTTTTAAGTTGAACGCTAACTTCCGGTACAGGACTAGTTTCACAGAAGGTGAAAGAGCTTGTTTTTGTTTAAAATCTTCCTTCGTGTTGAGTTTTAATCCAGAAACTTCTCCACGAGACTCTGTTTTACCACCAACAACACGGCGTCAGTTTGAATCCGAACAAACGGTGGAGTTCAAAAAGCGGCAGTTTGTTAGTCTGTTAGCTCGCTAACATTAGCACGCTAAGCTAACCGGCTATCAGCGGCTCCTGGAGAAAACCAACCCGGAATTTATCGCTCAGAATCGGACCCGTGAGTTGTAAAATCGCCTCTCGAACCGTGATTATTTTTTTTGCATTACAGAGAAGGTGTATTTTGTTAGTTTTGTTAGCTCGCTAACTTTAGCACGCTAAGTTAACCGGCTATCAGCGGCTCTTTCGAGAAAACCAACCCGAACAAGATCACTTAGAAATCGGACACTTGAGTTGTAAAAACGCCCCCTCGAACCCTGATTTTTTTTTTTTCTTGGCATTACGGGAGAAGGTGGATTTTTCATGTGTGCACCGGGCCGGGTTTGGACTCTTTAATGGGAGGCTCCTCGCTGCGGACGGGGATCAGGCTGCTGCTGGTACCGGGGACCTGGCTGCTGTGTACCGGGTCCACATGGAGCCTTTGGCCGGGTACGTGTTCAAGGCGGCCAGCGAAGGCCGGGTCCTGACGCTGGCCGCGCTGCTGCACAATCACCCGGAGGAGGAGGTGCGGTTCCTGCTGAGCCATGTGACCCAGGTGGCCGGCCAGAGGTCCACTCCGCTCATCATCGCGGCCCGGAACGGACACGACAAGGTGGTCCGGCTGCTGGTGGATCACTACCGGGTCAACACGGAGCAGACCGGCACCGTGCGGTTCGACGGGTGAGAGGGACTACTTTCTGTTAAAACATGTCTAACCAGTGCCTGTTTGTGAGGGCTTCATGTAGAAGAGAGAGAGTATTAAGAGTCTAAATATGAGATGTAGAGACACACATTAAAATAAAGCAGATTAAAGACAACATTTAAATAATAAAAATGTTAACAGACAAGATTCACCCCTCCCCAAAAAAGCCAGCACACTTCTAAGATAAAAAATAAAACGAAATGTAAAAAAAGTAAAATTCAACAGACACTAACAAAAATTAAAGCAGACACTAAAAATACAATTAATACAATTAAAACAGATATAGAAATAAAAAATAAAAATAACAACAGATACTTAAAGGGGACCTATCATGCAAAATACACTTGTGTACGTCTTTTATACATACATCTGTTTGGTATTTTGAAGGAAAAAAAAGTATAAATATGCCTTATATAGGTATGGTCCTACACTATATTATTCAAATATAGCATGATAGGTCCACTTTAAATTAAAATCCAATAGAGACAAATGACTCGTAAAATGCTATAAAAAAATAAAAATGCCATGTTTTAAAAATATTGTGTGAATGATTCAATCTTAAAACTTCATCAAAAGCCATTATTAAAAATACATAATATGATTGTTATATATAAGAAATATACGTTTTATATAGATAAATACTTAATTTGATCCCAATTTAGGAAATTATTTTGTTCCAGAAGAAGCATCAGTGTGTTCAGACGTAAAATAAAAACCTTTAGACAACTCACATGTAACAACAATGTATGTTTGCATTTCCCTGAGTTAGGTTTTGTTTACTGAGCGTCAGCCTCACAACAGAAACCTGTCTCTCCTGTCTGAACTGAAACTGGGAGCTGGTTTTTCCCTGCTACACACACACACACCACACACACACACACACACACACACACACACACACACACACACACACCCCACACACACCACACACACACACACACAAACACACACACACAACACACCACACACACACACACACACACCACACACACACACCACACACAACCCACACCACACACACACACACACACACACAC